CCGCGTCCCCCCCCCCCCCCCCCCCCCCCCCCGGCAGCAAGTTCGCCTAAACGATAGTCGCGGTACCATCATCGTCACAACAGAATGTTGACAACCAAAGGATCATGAACAACGACGCTTCAACAGCAGCGCAGCAGCGGCGGCAGCAGCAGCAGCAGCAGCAACAGCAGCAACAGCATCATGGCCAACCACTAGCAAAAACGCAATAGCAACAACGGCAGCACCAACAGAAAACGAGCAAACAATCAACAGCAGTAGTAAGGGAAACAACAACCACAGCAACAACGCTACCATTACCACCAACAACATCAACCACGGCACCACCCCCACCGAACAACCCAGGTGCGACGGACCAACTTCCGGGCCTCGACGGACGGCGTCTCCATGCTCAAGATCGCGGCGCACCCGAACGGCAGGGTCTTCATGGCCGGAAAAGACGGCAACCTTTACGAGCTCACCTACAGCGTGGCCTACGGCTTCTGGTACTCGGTGTTCTCGGTGGGCAGCCCGGTCCCCTCCCGACAGTGCAGCCGCCTCGCCCACAAGTCCTCCAGCGGGGGGCCAAGCCCCGTGAATTCCATGTTTGCCCTGTTGGGCCTGCGGCGCGCGGAGCGGGTGCTTGTGGACGTCGTGGTGGACCCCCTCAGGAACGTTCTCTACACGCTCGACCTGGCGGGGGATGTAGACCTTTTCGACCTCGGAGCTGACGGGAACAGCACGACCCAGAAGGCACAGTTCGTTGTTTGTTGTTTGTTTTTGCCCTGGTTCGCACCGCCGGAAGCTTGCAGGTGGCGTGAGATGGCACACCCCACTTACCTCCTGGAACCGCTTTCGAAGCTCGATGCTGAGAATGGCGGCGTTCGAACCACCTCGTGGAGAACTTTCCCGAAAACGTACCGTTCTTTTTTTCTTCTTCGCCCTCGTTCGTCGCCGAGTGATCGAACGTTGAGGTTTCGCCCCCTGGGTATTTGTTCCGACATTTCAATATGTGTGGGTGTTTGTCGAGGGCATGGTTGAGAGCGCTGCGAGGAGGTAGGTCCTTCTCCGTATCCGGTAGGAGCGGCGGCGGCGGCGACGTTCTTGTTGTGTGGCTTCGATTTGTGTTTCGCGCTTCCTTATGGTCGCCCATTGCGGTTGAGTCACAACGCCTCTGCCAATGTAAGCGCAAGAGATCAGAGCGTCAGGAAATATGAGAGCAAGAAGGGTGAACCACAGAGGCCGTCGTTCCCGCGGGAGTAGGGCATCGTCGTCTTGACCTTGTGATGCACCTCTTGTTTGTCCCCACGGCGCTCCCAGAAGGTACCTGTTATGTTGTCCTCGCTTTTAAGGAAATGTCCTAAGGATAGTGCCCATTGCGCGGTTCTTTTTCTTGTTCCCCTCCCTGTCGTTGTTTATGATCCTGCAAGGCACCGTGCTTCTGGAAAAGCTACGGTGTCCTTGAAGCGGGTGCGGTGGTATACGGCTGTTGTGTCCATATTATAAGAGACTAACTTTATAGGGCCCTTCCTTCTTCCTGTCTGTCGTCCCCCCTTCTGTTGTTCGTCTTTTGTGGCTCTGCTGCCAGAACAATGTGTTCAATATCTGGACAAGGGCGGCCAGGTTTTGCCAAGGCTACGGGAACGGTCAAAGCGGATTGTCCCACTTGACCTTCAAGGACCCTAAGCAGCACCAGGTGAGCACTTCTCTGTGTAGAATGGATTATACCCACAAGGGTAGCAGCTTTTGTAAGGGTTGCCTGCTGCTGTTGGTCGCGAGCCTATTCTACATCAACACCACACCAAAACTTATGCATGCGATTGGGCAATATGACCACAGGAGATAATTCCCTTGTGCTCTTTCAACATCGATACCGACGTCTTTTTTGAGGGCATACCTCACGCATACATGCATATGGGCAGAAAACGGCGACAGCAACCCCCGAGTATCCGTTCCATTCGATCCGTTGGAAAAAAAAAAAACGAAAAACGCAGATTGTTTATCTGGAAGTGGTGCCTGCAACGGAGAGCAAGACGGTCGCACTTGTTGCGGTAACCGACTCCGGGATGCGGATCTACTTGTCTTGCGGGTCCAGGTGCGATGATGCATCGTTCAATATGTGGCCGTCAGGTTTGTTTTGCGTCGTTCGAGATGTAGCCCTTGGTTAGCTCCTTTTTGTCTGTCGTTTTTTTCCTTCTTCTTTTTTGTTTACAGTCTTGCTTCGCGGAAACTGTCTCGGAAGAAGAGGTAAAAAACACCTGTTCGTGCTGCGACCGTCAAATCGCCCCTTGAGGTCGTTGGGCGAGAGGCCAGCAACATTACGGCCTTGCCACAAATGTGCTGCTGCCAAGTCTTGGACCGTTAGTTGCTCCCCTCCCTCTACCCTCTACCCCTGGCGCCAAACATGGTGGCGGCGAACGATGTGATTGGTTGGCAGCGGTGGCAAGCGGCACAACTTCCGGCTCACCATAGTGCAGATACGGTGCCCCCCGCCGGAGAAGCTTTGGCAGTACTTGCACCAGCACCAGGGGGCGGTGGGCGCGGCTCCGGTGCCTGCTGATGGCGGCGGAGGCACCGCGACGGTGCAGCAGCAGCAGCAGCAGCAGCAGCAGCAGGTGCGTACAGCAGGACGGCCAACATATTTAATTATGGTACTCGCTACGCTCAGATTGGTAAGTACTGCAGTGTTTTGTGTGCTCTTTTGGGCCTCAGCAAGGACTGAATCGCGCCTCGGCCGTGTGCAATGGCCCCTCCGAGTCGAATCCACGCTGTCATTCGAGCGTATGTGATGCTGCAGTCGGCACCGGCCGCGCCATGTACACCTGTTGGGTGGTACATGAAGCGGGAAACTGCTGTCGGAAACGTTTTTGGACAAAAGGACTCAATTTTTGTTCTTTCTGGGCCCACAGAACAACACGAGAAGCTTCTTCGAGTTGCACTGGTTGCAGTTTTGCAGTCAGTCTTTCCCCTGCTGATTGAGGCAACTTGTAGAATTCGCAGGGTTTTCGGGTTTCTTTTTCTCATCGTTATTTTGCCACAGCTCTCTTTCATCCGTTTTCTCCCTCTCCTCTTCTCCCTCATCCCCTTCTGCTCTCTCTCTCTCTCTCCTTTCTACCGTCTTTCTACTGCTCAGAGATTCCAGCCCGCAGACGGTTTCCCGGCCAAGTGGGAAAGGCAACCGCCTTCCGTGTACAGCGCGTACTGCTGCGGGGGGGTGACGGTTCTAGCTCAGGCCTTGACGCAAGGGGATCGTCTCGTACTCATCGGATCGGACTTGATCACGCGTGCCAAGCGCAAGCGTGAGATGCACCAGGTGACATGGGGAGAGCGTGAGAGATCATTACAGAGAGAAGGGAAGAGAGAGAGAGGGAAAAGGGAGAGATCTCAGGGAGGATTTCTGAGGCGTTTGATGATGCGCAGGAGCGTCTTTGTCGTTCGTAAGTTACATGTTTTGCTGTCTGATGCACCGGGTGAAAAAGAGAGAGACAAGAGAGTTCAGGAAGCAGTTCATGGGTGTTTTATGGTGCGCAGCGCCGTCTTGTCAAGTTACTTGCCCCGAACCACACGTCCTTGAACACGCACACGCTACCCCCTTGCCGCAGGAGGAACACCCGTCCATGAGAGAGGCGGTCACCGAGATCGGCGACTCCGCCTCCGCCACCGATCCAACCGCGGGCGGAGGCGCCGGCGGCCGCCAGCAGCAGGCGATGGGAAGAGTGTGGGCCATCTCGGAGCGGCCGGTGACCCTGGTCGACAACCCGGAGATTGGCCGCGTCCGCGCCCTCCTGGCGTTGTCCGGCGCCCCGTCCCCGTCCGATAATAACGGCACCACCGCCGCTAACGGCGGCGGCGGCGGCGGCGGCGGCGGCGGCGGCGGCGGCGGCGGCGGCGGCAGCAGGGCCGTAGTCCGCGGCGGGCGCAGTGTCTCCGGAGCTGTTGTGGGGGGCGTGCTGTCGCGCGCAAAGGCGTGGCAGAGGAGCAGCCGCTATGCGTCGAGACCGGTGGCGCCGTCGCCACCCCTGGTTGCGTCGCCGGGGGGCTCCGCGGGATTCCCCGGGGGATTGAACGCGAGGGACGTCGGGGGGATGGTGCAGCTGCCGGAGCTTGGGGTCCAGCCGTACAGCGACCGGAGGGAGCTGCTTTGTTTGACCGGGGCGGGGCTGCAGGTGTTGACGCGGCTGCGGCCGGTGGACCTGCTGTATGATCTGCTGGTCCGGGATCACGTGGAAGGGGTGAGGGAGTCTTGAGGATGACAGAAGTTGGGGAAGGGAGGACAGAGACAGAGATACATTCGCGTACCACGTACGTAGATACACATGGCGACAGAGAGAGAGAGCGACAGAGACAGAGACAGAGGCAGAGGCAGAGGCAGAGACAGAGACAGAGACAGAGACAGAGGCAGAGGCAGAGACAGAGACAGAGACAGAGACAGAGACAGAGAGGAAGAGTCGTAGAGTCGAAGAGAGTGGAGTGTGGATGAGAAGAGATGAGAAGAGATGGAAGTGAGCTCAGTACTCCAACCCAAAAAGGAAATGTTTTTTTCCTCAAGACCGCCCTGCGGGGAGGCATCATGCCACGTTGTTGTTTGTTCCTATCATATGCATAGAAACAAAAAAAACGAGCTGTTTGCGCGAGTTGGAATTTTCGAGGAATGCTGCTGTAAAATTGGTAGCAAACCAGATGGGACCAGTGCCGGCACGAGAGGCCACCAGCTGCAGAGCCCCCCAAGCTACTTTGAACCCCGTGGTCTCATTTGCATTTTCATCGTGGATTAGCAAAAAATCTCTCAGAACAACGTGCCGTACTGTAGAGGACAGGAAAAACAGAGAAAGATCACCCTATGCCTTGAGAACCCACCGTCCGCACGCGCCCAGGCCGGCCCCACTTACACCCTTGCCTTTCCGTTTCCGCTTGGGCATCCGGTGTACAAACTTTTAACTCTCTCGACGGATTAGCACCGTTCGCAACGTAGAGGACAGAAAACAGAGATTAATCCATATGGCTACAACCCCCGCTTCTCCGTTGGTCCTCCACTTGTCGGTGTAATATCCCGTGTACGAACTTGCACTCCTTTCTCGAAGTTGCCCTTGCCGGTGCCCTTCGATTGGTACCATTCATAGCCTTGTAACTAACGGTACCAGTTCAAGGACACTGGCAAGGCGACTCCGACAAAGGGAGTGCAAGTTTGTACGCCGGACGTCCAACGGACAAGGCCAGGCCAAAGGGAGAAGTGGACGGCGGTGGATGCGAGGCGTCCGATGGGTTATATGCATACGGATTTAACTCTCTCTAGTTTTCCTGTCCGCCTCTGTGGTACACTCCTTTGAGAGAGGTTGGTTCATCGAAGATGCAGAANGGGGGGGGGGGGGGGGGGGGGGGGGGGGGGGGGGGGGGGGGGGGGGGGGGGGGGGGGGGGGGGGGGTCTGCAGCCGGTAGTGCCTCGTGCCGGAACTTGTTCCGTCCGATTGGGTAATTTTGTGTTGTATGCGTGGCGCCCGGCAGTAGGGCTCAAGCAAGGGTGCGAGACAGTACCACAGCAGTCCCCGTGTAGTCTTGTGTCGAACAAGGGGGCACGAATGTGTACACCGGGGAAAGTTTGGGTAGGTCCCCCAACTGGGAGGGCAGGAGGCCTCACCCAAGCCAATTATTTCTTCAAGTGAACCACAATAGTCAGGAAGACACCGGGATACGATGTACTTATGAGAACGCCCTCTGGGGGGAAGGCGCGCAAATTTTTTTTTGTGGGGGTGAAAATAGCAAAAATTTCGGGGCGGTTTCATTGGCATGCGGGAAAAAAAATATAGAAATGAACCCCGATACAAGCAGCCCCGGGGCATTTTTGACAAGTTTGTGTGCGTCACCGTTAACTTTGGTAGCGGGGGTCGTCAGGGTGGATGAGCCCTGACGACCCCCCCTACCACAACCAATGGCGAGGAACACAAACTTGTCGATAATGCCCCAGGGCTATCGGGCTCGATTGGGTGTGTTTGGTTTGTTTGTTTTTTTGTTTTTTGTTTTGGTGAGGCACCCAAACATGTTGAAGATACCCCAGGACTATCAGGCTAAATTGGGTGTGTTTGGTTTGGGTGTTTTTTTTTTATCTTCTGTTTTGTGGACGGTACGTGTATATTTTTTTTTTCAGTTTTGGGGACGCACCATGTCACCGCCGCCGCCGCCGCCGCCGCCCTCTCTCCTGCCTTACCGCAGGTGAGACTCTTCTTCGACGACTTCAGCCCTGACCAGTCCGCCGCGATGTGCTTCAGCATTGCCTGCGGGCTGCCGCGTGACCTCGGAACGGGCTGTGGCGGCGGCGGCAGCGGTGGGGGGCCCGTGGCGGGATCAACCGGAGGGGGGGGGTACAACCCGTCCGTGCCCACGGCGTATGGGGTCCCGAACCACACGGTGCGCGCCCGCGCGCTAGACGCGGCGCTCATGATCTGCAAGCCTCCCGGGTTTAGCAGCCCTGGTCAACCGGCCGGCGGGGGGATCGGGATCGGGGGCGGGGGCGGGGTGGCGGCTACCGCTGGGGGCGTCATCATGGGGGAGAAGTTCACCAACAGCGCTCTCCACAATGGCCTCCAGCTGTTCATCGGCCGCCTCTTGAGGCCGTTCTGGTTCCTGCCGGTAGTTGTGGCGCCGCCAGGCGGCAGCGGCGGTGGGGCTAAACGGTCCGCCGACGGGACTGTCAAGAGCGGCGGTTCGCCACCGCCGCCGCCGTTCGTCCGGGACCTCGAGGCTCTGCGCGTCCCGCTGGAGTCTCTGAGGGCAAGCATCCGCGCGGTCTTCCCCCGCGCCGTGGGCGAAGACCTCGCGGCCCTGGCAAGCAGAGAGGCCAAGGCGGCCGCGGCGGTGCCGGCGAGCGGGGGGCTTCTCGGCAACGGCGGCTCGGCGGGTAGGGCGGCGGCGGGCGGGCTGGTGGTGGCCCCCGGAGGATACCCGACGCCGGAGACCCCGCAGCAGCGGAACCAGAAGGCGCTCAAGCGGGAGGCGCTGGAGGTCCACGCTGCGTACCGGCTGGTCTCCCGCGCGGCGGAGGCGGTCCGGATGGCCGGGGTCCTCGCCCGCGCGGCGGCATCCTCCGCCGTTGGCGGCGCCGCCGCCGTCGACAACGTCCCCTGGTCCTCGCTCGACGGAGTCCCGCTGTGGCGGCTCGTCACGGGGGGAGACGAGCACCGGCGGGCGTCGTTCCTTCTCGCCGACCTGGTGGGCGCCACCACTAAGGGCAACAACAACGCGGAGTCCCGCAGGGACTACGCCAGGGAGCTAGGGTCCTGGTGCCGCGGGTTCTTCGGGGCCGGCGACCGGCAGACCTTCGAGGGCGTCGAGCTTCTGCGGCGAGCGGCGGCGAGCGGTAGCGGTAGCAGTAGCGGTAGCGGTAGGCTGACAGCGGCGGCGGAGGCGGACGCGCGGCGGGGGGCCGAGCTTCTGGCCGAGGCGGCCCGGGAGTGGCGCGGGGAGCGGGCGCTGGGTGCCGACGGCCAGCTCGCGCGCGCGTGCGCCGCGCTGACCGCGGTCGGGCGGCTCGAGGCCGTCGTGGACGTGTGCATGACGTGCGCCAAGAACTTCGGGGAGGGAGTGGTGGCGTCCGGCGGCGGAGGACAGGGGGGCGGGGGCGGCCTTGAGGCGTGGGAGGAAGGCGTTTATCAGGGCGGGGGCATTGTTGGTGCGGAGCAGAGGGAGAAGGCAAGGCTGGAGTGCTATAAGAGGGTGCTCGAGGCTGTGGTTGGCCTGCTGAAGCAGGAGCGGCAGCAGCTGCGGTCGGCGGCAGCGGCGGCGGCGGCGGCGGGGCAGGGTGGAGTGCGCGGTTCGAAGAAGGTGGACAGTCTCATCGCGCGGTGCCTGTCGTACAAGGCTCCGCTGCTAGAGGAGATGCTGTTCGGGGTGTTGGAGGTACGCATGTGTTGTAGAGCGGTGTCATCTCGTCTGTCCGGGGCCGGGGTGTGCTCGTTGTTTCGTACCGGGGACCATCAGTGTCGTCCACTTCCAAATCTTCGTCTTGTGCCTGCAAGAAAAGGATGTAGTGCGCAGCTACCTCTGAAGGCAGCGAAGGAGGCGTTGGAAACGTGGGGGCGGCTTTGGTTTGGCGAGGCCTAAAGCAGTGCCGCGGTCGGAGGGGGAGGGGCGCGCGGCCACGCCCTCCGTAGTTGCATTATGAAGCCGTCGCTCTTAGCGTCAGTCCCGTAGAGTGCTCCTGAACCTGTAGCGACGCACTGCTGTGCTCGACGCGTTGTCAATCCTCGAACCGCTAAGACATGCAAAACATGACAACCGCGCCCCCCCCTGCCCCACTCCCACGTTCGTGATTGATTTTGCTGGGCCCCAGGAGCACGACAAGAAGCTGCTGTTGAGCATCAGGACCCCGGGCGTGGAGCAGTACTTAAAGAGAGACCCCGAGGACCTGTTCAGGCACTACATGCTCAGCAAGGACTACCCCAAGGTGTGCGCTCTCTATTCGGGCATGCTGTGTACGTGTGTTGCCTTGTTGTCGCTGCTGCTATTGCTGCTGCTGTTTAGCACCAGTACTGTAGTTGGTGTTGCTGGGGCGGTGGTGGTTAGGAAACCTGGTGGCCTGTTGTTGCTGCACTTGTTGACACAGCGGTGATAAATGGACGCCATGCTTCTCGTGCATTCAGGCGGCGTGTTTCGACTGAAGGAGAGCGCCAGCAGCAGTAAGACTCGAAGCGGCCTCCATGCGCTTTTGGTGTTGCTACCAATCACAACGTTTGGGTGCGGGTTTCTCTTCCCCTCTCTAATGGAAGGCCGCACCCTCTCCTTCAAACCTTTCGCGAAACGATGTGGGATGTAATTCCCTTTCCTCCAAAAACCCGTTCGCTCAACCATCTGGGGATGTTCCTCCCTTGCCTCCCTCTTGTCTTTCTCCTTCTCTCAGAGGCGGTCCATCTCATGGATTGCCACAGAGTACGTCGATCTATAGTGCCAACCGGCTTCTTTGCCAAAGCCCTTTGAGAAGGGCGCCCCTCTCCTTCAAACCCTTTTGCTTAAAACGACCTGCCATGTACGCGCCTCTCTTGTCCTCCTCTCTTCCTCCTCCTTTTGTCAAAGGGCGGTCCATCTGATGGATCACCATCTAGTCCTTCGCATATTACCAACCGGCTTCTGTGTCGAAGGCCTTTCGCTCACGGTTTAGGACATATTTGTCTCTTCTTGTCCTCCTGTCGTGCTTCTTGTTTTGTCAAAGGCGGTCCATCTGATGGATCGCGAGGCCCGCGTTGAGGCCGGGAGCGGCGTGCACGTGCGGCACCGCGTGGAATGTCTGCTCAAGGCCATCTCGGCTTGCCACAAGTGCGACCTCGACTCTGCCCAGGTGTGTGGACAGGTGGAGCCACAAGCAGGTTTACAGCGAGACTGATAATTCATTTCCTCCTCTTATCCCCCGCGTTTCGAGAAAGAGAAACATGGTGCCCCCGCCCCCATACCACACCATGACCCCCTGGGCATCCCCTAAACACCCTTGCATTTACCTGTGTATCATGAACCCTTCGCCTAACCCCCCGTGTTTCGCGAGACAAAGGTGGTGGCCCCATGGCACATCATGACCCCCCTTTCTTTCCCCATCTGACTCCCTTGTATCTATGATCACCCCCGCATGTGCATGATCATCCCTCGGTCGAACCCCCCGTGTTTCGTCGCAAAACCAAAAAAGATGGTGGCTCCTGGATGTAGCCTTACACCTACGTTCACCCCACACGTGCATAATCATCCCTGGGTCGAACCCCCCGTGTTTCGTCGCAAAACAAAAAAAAGATGGTGGCTCCCGGGTGGAGCCTGAACCACGCCAAGCTCCGCACGATGGAGGACGAGAGAGACGTGCTGCTCGTGCAGGAACGGCTTCTGTCCGAGCTTAAGGCCACGATGGCTCCACTCGAGCGCTTGGCTCAGGAGGGCCGTGGCACCGAGGGTCTGATCGGTGAGTTGCATCTTGTTTTTTGTTGGCGGACAGTCAGGTTGTGAACCTTTTTTCGGAAAGCTTGTAAATCCATCGTGGGGATCCATCCCAAGTATATGGAAATAACTTTTAGGATCCATCCCAATTTGATTGAAATCACTTCTATGAATTCGTCGCAAGTTTACGGAATCGTTTTGTGAATCCGTGGCGAATATGTCCCGAACCTCTTTGTGTATGTAGTCGGGTTAAGAGATGGAAGCTAAATGCTTCTGTAAGAACGGACGAAGATAAGACCTTTCCGAGAGGAGTTCGAAGACTTGCTAGGTTGTTGGCTTGCTTGTCTCTGCGGGGCGCCAAGTGAGAGCGGGTCTACTGTAGGTCCTCGAGAAGGGAAGGGCCCACCCAGTGCAGCTGTCGGCGTGTCGTCCGGGTTGTACGCGGACAAGAAAGGTAAGTATTCCATGGCAGGAGCGAAGGTTCAGCCTCCCATCCCATGTTTTCCCTCGCGGTCCTCTTCCTGGCTTCCCACGCGTTGGCAAGCCAAGGCACCACCACGTATCAGAAACGGCGACGACGACGACGGCAACTCGTGCCATCGCTGCCGCTGCTAGTGCAACACTACGAACACCTGCCACCGCTGCTGCCATGAACGGTTCCGCTTTCTACGCCGAAACCTACCTTGACAGTGCTCCACTAGACATGAACAACGAATCGATTTCAACAACCGCCGCCCCCGCCGCTACCGCTGCCGCCGCTACCGCTGCCATGGACTTTACTGGTACGAAAGGCACCGCTGTCTACCCCGAAACTACCATCACACTGCTCCACTTACACATCAACAACGAACCCTCACCAACAACAATCCCGCCGCCGCCGCCGCCGCCGCCGCCGCCGAATGAACGTTGCCACCTTTTCTAGCCGAGCTGTCAGAGAGAAGACGTATCGCGGAGACGTGGACGACCGACATTGTAGACCCTTCGGAGCTGTACAGGCAAGCCTCTGGCTCCTTCCTGTGGGAGGGTTGCCTCCGGCTGATGCAGTGCTGCGAGTTCGACGAGCCGATCGTGGCTAAGAGGCTCATCAGGTGCGTGCGTGCGTGCGTGCGTGCGTGCGTGCGTGCCTGTGTTTGTGTGTGTGGACGGGCTGTGTTTCTGCTTTGTGCTTGAAGGGGCTTGTCAGGTGCGTGTGTCCGTGTGTTGTGGCCGGGTTGGGGTTCTGTTTGGTGTTTGAAGAGGCACATCAGGGTGCGTGCATGCATTTGCTGTTTATGTGTGTGTGGAAGCGTTGCGTTGTTGGTTCTCTCTTGTGATGTTGTGGCATCGACCGCGCTTAATCGGGTAACGCGGAGATCAGGCAGGCGTCAGTCTTGTAGTGGGGCGGCGGGACTAAGGAAGGATACGCGGGCACGCTTTCTTTTCCGCGGAGGAGCTAGCTCCCTGGGAAGTTTAAGTCGGGGAGGATACGGGACGAAAGGGTCGTGCAAGCGTGTTTTGGTGTTTGGGTTGATCTAAAATATTCCACAGGAAAAAAAACAACACTCCGAACAAACTCCTTTGTGGTAGTCCGGCCGTAGTTTGACTTCGACTTCGGCTCATGACTCCAGAAAATATGGTAGCGAAGGAAAGGTGTAATATTAGCGTCCAGGGAATGCATGGGATGACACACACAAGCATTCACAGACACCACGATCACCGCCTCCGATCACCACCAAGAAAGTGCTGCAGTCATCGTGTTTTTTTTTTTTCTCTGGGTTGGAGCAGGTTCATTGGAACGGAAAGGTGGAGTTGACACGCGTTTGATGGGAGGGATACGAACAGGATAACTTGTGTCGAGGTGTGAATACGTCGCCTCTCCATCCCTTACATGGAGCAACCGGAGAGCTTCCTCCCCCCGACGTTCGGCAAGGTCGGAAGGAGGACTGACCATCGGTAATCGATCCAGTGCGAACAATGCTCCGGCCTCTCAACGACGCATGGCCGATGATTTAGCGGCCTAAGACATGGCTAAACATGAGAGCCCGATGGCCAGCTTCTGGTTCATCCTCGTGAAAGGAAGCCTGAGCCGGCTAAAACCCGGCGTATCGCTCCATCCCGGCTTTGCTGGGGTACGAGGTCAATATTCTACCGACTCCTGGGCATGCGTTCGCATAAGTACCCCCCCCCTGTCAGGTCCATTATCTGGCGAGAGGTACCCTCCGTGAGCCGAGGGGGCTCTAAGTGCCGCGCGCAGGTGTTCATCTCCTCCATGAGGGATCGCCCGGGCGAAGTGGAAGTGGACGATGTCCGGCAGGAGTTGGACAGGGGACTTGGCGGCGGCGGTGGGGATGGGGGTACGAGGGCCGGGAGGCGAATCGCTTTCGAGGACGACGGTTGGTTCACCCCTTTGCTGGTGAGCTTGGAAGGCGGGGTAGAAAGGCGGGAAAATTCGGTAGTCTAGTAAGGTTTTAAGGTTTCCGTTCCTTATTTCCCTCCCCCCCCCCCCCCCCCCCCCC